AAATTTGTTACAAGAGAGGACGTCTCTATCATTGGCACGGGTTACATTTATGTGCCATATAAGCTTGGAGCTTCGAAATTGGCAGCATTTCGTATTCGTGCCAAACTCCGTGCCTTATAGTTTAGTCAGGGATACTTAAAACTCGTGTCAAATTCCGTGCTAATATTGCAATTTTTTTGTAGTGTTCATGGTAGAAGTAAATGAAAGAGTAAAATGCAATAATGGTCCTTTTTACCATAGTTTTAAAAACCAAACCGGACCGGCCGGTTCGGACCGGGAACCGGTGAACCAGACACCAAACCAATCCGTTCCGTGAAGGTTTTTAAAAAACACACTTCCTGGATTCGAACACATGACCACGGGGTTGGAAGCGGCCTTCACAAACCATCTCAACTACAATGGCCTTTGGGTACCTCTGCTATTTTCATCTAATATTCTTTAATACAAATATTCTCAATCAAACACTTTAAAAATATACTCCGTACTATATACTTTTCTTAACTAAAAATCAAATCACTTTTTATTCATAAGTTTTTTTAAACAAGTAAGTTTTATTTTTTATTTAATGACACAACTCAAGTAAATTAAGTTAAATTCTAAATCTAGTCAAACATCAATTCTTTATTTATAAATAGACGAACTATATTATTTTATTTACTCATATATTTGTCTTTTTTAAGTCAAAGAAACAACGTGTGTGTGTGTGTGTATATTAAAAATGTTTGAACCACTGGTTCAACCACTCGAACCACTGGTTCGACCAGTGAACCAGTGCCTTGACCGGTTCGATGACCGGTTCGATTCTGAAAACTATGCTTTTTACCCTTTTTCACAAAAAAATTATTTTATACATTTTTCAAATTTGGAGGTTAACCAGAGTAAGTACTCCCTCTCACACCATTCCTCTAATAACAAGATTTCAACCATGTCGAAACTGCACCATTCCTCTAATAACAAGAGCATATCGAAACTGCACCCTCCCTCCCACACCATTCCTCTAATAACAAGATTTCAACCATGTTAAATTTACACCAAAAAGTGTAATTCAAAATTACACCAAATGTATATATGCACTAACATTTTGATAATTCACAGTGACACAAAATGACAGTGCATTAACAAAAATATGCACTAACATTTTGTGTCTGTGTGAACTATCACTCTAGTATTACACTGACATAAAATAAAGGTGCACACCTGCAGTGTACAAAATGCGGTACAAATAACTTAATCTATAACATTTTTGTTTTCAAATTCGGGCAACAAATATATATTCTAAGGGCAACCGCATTGGATGGAGAAGTAAAGGGAGGACTACTCTCACTTCTCGCCTCCATTTCATCGTTTGGAGATCCAATACACAATTTCTCTTTTACTCCTCTTTATCTGTTACATCAAAAGGACTACTAAAATATTACTCCGTATTTATTATATTACTTATATGCTTTTTAGTTTGTATGAATTGGCTAAAAATAAAATTATGTAATGCATTCAGAAGAATAAATACTCGTACTAATTAAATTATAATTTTTGAAAAAAATAATGTAAAAATCATACATGTAATATATTATTTCTTAAAATTAATTAAACCTATTTTAATTAAAAAAATCAAAGGTTGAATATATAAAAAAAGGATTTTTCAAAATTGAACATGGGTTCCATTTTCAATAAGAAAACATGTACTCCACTATTTAAATACAAATATTCTCCCTATTAAAAAAACGATTGTTAAAAATATCTAAAGGAGGACATCTCTTTCTCCGCCTACTCCACCATCGAATGCGGATGGCTTAAGGCTTGATATACAATTAGCTGGATAGTTTATCTCGTATTCCATGTTAATGGCACTAGCAGGGCCGGCCCATTAGGGGGACAAACAGTCCGTTCGGACCAGGCCCATGATTGTAAGGGGCTCAATTATTTTTTAATATTATATGTATGTGTATAAGAAGCCCAGCACCCAGCCCAATATGTCAAAAGCCCATCTCATTAGCCCCCCATCCCTTCCTAGTTCCTACTTCGTAGACAACTAACGCGAGGCGCAGAAGCTAGAGACGAAGCCTACTGCCCAAACCGAATCGGAAAGAGAGTGCCGACTGCTGAGAACGCCGCCGGTAGAGAGACGCCGCCGCCGCTTCCGCCAGACGCCGCTGCACCCTCCAGGTGTTCCGGATTCACTATCTTTCCAATTTAGTACTTCGTAATTTTTTTCTAATTTTCCAATTTATTACTCCGTAATTTTTAGTTTGAAATCTTTTCTGATTGCTATGAAATGTGAATGAATTAATGGTTCCATATATTCTTTATTTGATTTGGATGATTTGATTTGAATTTATGATATATATATATATATAACTGAAAACTAAAAAAAAACTGAAAAGTTGATAAATTGACATGAATTTAAGATATATATAAAAATACTGAAAACTGAAAAAGAAAAAAACTGAAAAAAATGACGAATTGAATCAATTGATATGAGTTTATGATATATGAATTTATTTGCTTGCTTTTTCCATATTTGATTTTACTATGAATTTGAATATTATTTCAGAAATAATTCAATAGCTATAGGTCCTAAACATCTATCCGGTAGTCAAAAATGTAAAAAGAGAAAACTTGATGAAGATTAAGAAAGTATCAAGCCGGATAAGAAATGCTTTGGTCATTTATTTATTTTTCTTCTAATAATATTACTTTAATCATCATTTATATAAAATTAGTTTACATATGTTAATTTGCTAGACTTTATATTTAGGGCCTTTTTTTATCTCGACCCAAGCCGTTGAATTCTTAGGACCGGCCCTGAATGGCAGGAATCTCGATTGCATTGCTCTAACAATTGTTGTAAATTCTTTTATTGTAAGAATAAGGGTCCTTTCACTCTCTGTGTGTGTGTGCGCGCGCGTGTGTCTATATATAACATTTAATAATGTAGTGATAAAAGTATTATTTTTAATGAGAAAAGTGCACCGTCTTCACTCAAATTCTTCGAAAATTGTACGGTTTACCTCTGAACATTAAAAAGCCCATCAAATACCATTAGGTAGTGTTTGGCAACTAGTATTTCATTTCAATTCATGCATTTCAATTCCAAAATTTAAAATCTTGAAATTCAAATGACAAGAGGAGGAGCATGGATTTCAAATTAAGGTTTGTTTTGAATGAGAAGAATTTGACTTAAATCCAAATTCAAATTTTTTAAGTTTTCCAAACATGAGATTTGAGCTAAATCCAGATTTGAAATCCAAATCCATGTTCTCAAACATACTATTAAATTCTTTAGAAATTGCACGTTTTGCCCCTGAACATTTAAATAAAGACGATAATTTCGAGAAGGGTACTCTGGAGAATTTACAAGAGCAAGATGAATCATATTCGTAATTTCCGTGCGTGGGAGCAACGCACTCCCTGTCTAGTATTTTAAGACCTACGGTGCAATGTTTTAAATTGTTGAGGGGTATTTGTTGCACCTTTTAATGTTAAGGGGTAAATCATGAAATTTATTCAGAGGTAAATCATACAATTTCCAAAGATTTCAGGGATAAGCAGTGCACTTCTTCTATTTTTAATTAAGCTGTTTTGGTGTTCAAAAAAATTGCATAATCAGAATAAAAGAAGCATATACAATCCTACACCGGATTATATCAACCTTTTCTTTTTCTTTAATAAATGGTCCTCATAAATGGCCAATTGCTGAGCTCAGTATAGGATTTCTGTTCTTCTTCTCTCTTCTTTCTTGTATCGATGACAGCTCTAGGAACGACAAATCGATCTTGGTTCTCTCATAGATACAAGAAAGAGGAGAGAGGCAATGTTCAAAATTACTCTCCGTTTTTTTTTTGCAAGTGTTGTGATAATACCTATGCCCTTAAGCACCCCTCTTTCTTTTATGAATGATGGCTCTACCCCTCGATCATTGTTCAATCACAGGCGACCCTCAAAAAGACATTTTTTTAAGAGTTTTTGGGGTTTTTTCTAGTTTGCCTTATGGTCCAAATCCATCTAAGTAATCATTTGATCGAGAAAGGCATGGGAGGTGGCCCATGGAGAATTGGGGATCAAAGCAGAAACACTATTACAACTTTACTTTATTTTAAGATTAAATATATTTTTAGCCCTTATAAAATATACTCCTTCCGTTAGACTCTTCTTCTTTCATTTTTTCCCAATTCCCTAAAACACTTCCTTTTTCTATTAAAAAACTACTTTTACCCCTATTTTTTCATATCCTACCTATCACATCATACTTTTTCACTAATAACCAAATTATTATATCTTACTTTTACTCATCACATCAGGGGCAAAATTGGAAAGTCAACCAAAATTACATTTTTCTTTAATCTACATGAGAAATCAGGTTCCAATTGCAATGCCCAATTTTCCCGCCAGATTTCTTCATCCAATGGCTATTAATAAATTGGTACACATGGCAATTACATAGAAAATCTCACTCCAAAAACATTTACAGTCACTTGTGGACAAAAAAATACCCACAGTATAAAATTCAGTACATGGCATCCCATCTACTGTATAAAACCAAGCCAAGTAGTCCATAAATGTACTAAGGTCCTCATTCCAGAATTTTTGTCAGTGATGGATATCGGGTCTGATGGACCCGACTCCAGGCCCAATGAAGGCCCATAACAGCGCGAGACGTATAAGGCCAGGTGGGGGTAACGGGCCGAGCCCGATACCACGCGTGTGGCAATGGAAAAAGACGGCCCAATCATGGATTAAATCAAGGTGACCCAGTCCAAGAAAGGAATGAGACATGTGGCCCACATCATTAAGTTGTGGACGAGATGGGAAGAGAACGAGACCGAAAAAGAGTGGATCACAACCCCATGATCTCCAGAATTTCTCGCATTTTGTATAATTTTAATTGCAATATGAGAAGTACTATAAAAGGGGGAGAACCCGCCATTGGGAAAGAGGAATTCCATACTTAATCAAAGAATATTATCGAGTAATTATATCTTTCTGATCCATATTACGTTCTTAGTCCGCCATCTGATCGGTTTAATCCCATCATTGGTGCTTTCATTGAGAGACTACTGTGAGATAAAGCTGTGAGATTATGGCCGGACGAAGGACGAGACGTAACACTGCTGCTTCTGCCCAGTCGATGGTGAGGAGTGACAACCCTGAACAGGGCATGATCGTTCCTGTCAATGGGTTGGAAACAGCGTTGAATAATGTGGCTAACATGATGGCCAACATTATGGAACGGTTGGATAAGGTTCTCCCTGGTCCATCCGGTACCCGGGACATCCCTGCCGGGCAACCCCGCCAGGTCCTGCGTACTGCAAGTTTTCCCATCCTCCAGGAGCTTCATGATCCAGAGGAAGTCGAGAGGGAGAGACAGGCCGTTGCTAGACGCCGGGCGGAGGAATTGGCCCGGAATAGTAAGGTGAATGGAGATTGGGCCAAGGCTGCAAGCCAGGTCGTCGGCAATGGAAACGAAAACCCGCGGGTTGAAAGGATATCTCGCCAGAAAGCTCACGTTAGTGAGAGGCTGGGAAAGAATCCGGACAAAGTACCCCAGGGTTGGATACGACCCCAGGCCAGCCAGGTGGCGTCTTCTAACCGCGAACCCCGGCAGCGAAACGGCCGCGGTGGGAGTTAAGCGCCGGGCCGGTCCTTGGTGGTTCTGGATGAGGATGAAGTTCAAAGCCAAGTCAGGGTCCCAGCGCCACAGCGTCTGGGGCCGCCGGTACCGGAAGCTGGCGAATTCCAGGATCTGAGGCAGCAGATCCAGGAGATGCAGAGGAGGATAAACAGGGGACGAGTATTCACTACCCGGACGAATACTCCCTTAGCCCCGGAGATCTTTGCGGAACCATACCTGCAGGGATTCAAGATGTCGTTCGTTAAACGTTATGATGGGGAGTCGGATCTATTTTATCTTGTAATTTGTATATTAAAAAATTATAGAAATTATATATTAATAATCTACATGTTAAGACAAATCAAACAAGATCACACATGACTATATTTAGGCTTACACATTGAGAGAATTTGATGAGTCAAAGTGCTTAGATGAACAGTTCCAGAATTCAAAACTGGACGAATACTCCGGGACGGAGGGAGTAATTAATATTCCATACCAATCTTGTGGAGAATGAAACACTTTCTCTATTCTTGAGTAGGGGACACGGAAGCAGCTGTATTTGATTTGGGAAAAAAAGATTTTTTATAGGGTTATTTAATTGCTAAATCATGGATTTAGTCATTGATATACTGTAGGGGTGAGCAATTACCAAACCGGCCCTGAAATTTTCTAAAAAAATTGAGATTACCGAACCAAAAAATACTGAACCCATAAAGTACCAAAAATGAACTATATCATACGGAATCGAATGGTCGATCCGGTATTTGGGACCAGTACAAGGTTAGTTCCCAAACTGAAAAACCCCGAATCGAACATATATACAAATATGTTATAAAAATAATAATGTTTTTACATTTCTTCATAAAATAATGATTTGATTTTGAAAAGTTGGTTCAAGTGTAGATGAATTACAAATAATCATTTATTTAAATAATCATTTATGTGAATTTTAAGTTTTATAGATGAATATTAAAAAAATTAGTTAACAAATATTTGAAATACTTTTTTGTTATCATTTATGCTCTTTTGTTTGTAAATACAAAGTATAAATTAAACTAAGTTTTATAAGCATTTCTTGCATTTAATTATTCATTTTTCATTTTTATCTTTCTTTATTTGAATGTGCTTTTGATTTTTTAAATAAAAAGTTTTATACATTTTAAAGTGTAAACTAGATACGTACGTATATAAAATCATCCCAATACTTATCGAAACCGAAACCCAACCATACCGAATCAATGCAATGTAAAATCTCATACCAAATCAAAATATTTGGTACAATATCGATACGAATCAAATACCGTACCACGTTCATCCCTAATAGACTGCACAGAAACATATACTATCCAAAGATTAGAACCTTCTCACTTCTTCCTAAAATTTTATCATATATTCCGTATAAATTATTATTATTATTATTATTATTATTATTATTATTATTATTATTATTATTATTATTATTATTATTATTATTATTATTATTGAAATTGCTATTATTCGAGATTTCGAGGATGGGAGATATTATTTCGTTCTTTCCCACATCGGTTCCTAGCAACATTTTCTTTTTCCTTTATAAATGCTCTTTTGTGTGTTGTGCTCGCCCGACCGACCTTAGATATTGAGAGTGCTGTGACCGCTATCTTCTTTTCTAATCAATGAAATGCTAAAACAAATTAAGATAGTTGCCACAGCACTACCTGTTTCAATGATCAGGTTCTTGGAATATAAATTTTTGCCTTGGTTTTGAAAAAGATTAATAAAAGGGAAAAGTTGTATTATTATGATCGGTTTACATGTAAAATGTAAATTTTTTCACATATTTTTATAAGCTTATAAATCTTTTTTTTTAATCAATTTAAAAGATCAATGCATATAATCATTTTTTGTATTAAAGTCAAAAAAATAAATATTGACTCAAAAACCAACAAAGAATTTGCCAAAAGGGAAAATGGTGAATAGTTTTAAAATTTTATACTAAAAAAACCTTGTTTTTAAAACAAATAATAAGACTTATATAACCTTTTTAAAATAATAAAAGGAAAAATTATCTCGAATAGTTCTAACTTTACCCGATCTTTCAAAGTTAATCTCACCCTGATATGCATAATAATCCTAACTTTACTAAAATTTGTGACTTTTGGGTCGCCGTTAAGTTGCTTACGGTGAGTTAACAGATATGGTTTTTTTTTGCGCAGCAAAATAAAAGTTGAGATTATTTTTTTATGAATCTTCATTTTTTAAAAGTCATCTGTATATTTTTACTATATGGTTTACCAACTTTAGGTTATTTTCATTGATTACCTTATTTATTTTATAAATTTTGTATGGTTTTACTTATTTTTCTCATTTGCATTATTTTTTATATTTATTTTTTTCCAAAGTTAGACTAATCTTTAAAAAATAAAAAAATGATGGAGATAAAAAGTCATTTTAAAAATTTAAATGAAAATGTATTAAAAAATTAAAATTAAAAAATCATAAAAAATAATCTCAACTTTTATTTTGTGGTGCAAAACAGGCCGTTTCCATTAACCCACCATTAGCAACTTAACAGCGACCCAAAACTCATTAATTTTTAGTAGTTTTAAGATTATTATGCATTACACTGAAAGATGGAATTATTATTAAAAGACCGGATAAAGTTAGAATTATTCTGAATAATTTGTTGATAATAAAATCGTTATGGAAATTGTAAGAAATAAATATGGTGAAATGTATATTAGTATAATACTTTGAAAATAGGAGGTTTTATATGAAACTAATAGTTATTGAAATTAGGAAGGTTTATATGAAATTAATAAGAATAAAAGTTATTTTAGTTAATGAAAAATCAAAACAGATTCCAAAATTTTATAATTAAAATGTATACCGAATATAATTTTTTTTTCTGAAAAATAATGTAATGATACATTTATACCCTGTGTAATGTTTCGGAGTAAATTCCATAATTGGTCCTTTATAACAGGGGGGTTTCCATATTTAGTCCTCTATTATCAAATATTACCCCCGTAGTCCTTTTTTTAAGGGTACCTTTCCACAAATGGTCCTTTTTTTGATCTTCTGCCATGCTGATGTTAATTTAAAGGCTAAAAGTATAATTTAACATCAACATTATGTCTAGTGACGTGTTCTGATATTGGTTAAGCAGATAACACAAAAATAAAGGGAAAATGGTGAATAGTTTTAAAACAAATAATAAGACTTATATAACCTTTTTAAAATAATAAAAGGAAAAATTATCTCGAATAGTTCTAACTTTATTAAAATTTGTGACTTTTGGGTTGCCGTTAAGTTGCTTACGGTGAGTTAACAGATATGGTTTTTTTTTTGCGCAGCAAAATAAAAGTTGAGATTATTTTTTTATGAATCTTCATTTTTTAAAAGTCATCTGTATATTTTTACTATATGGTTTACCAACTTTAGGTTATTTCCATTGATTACCTTATTTATTTTATAAATTTTGTATGGTTTTACTTTTTTTTCTCATTTGCGTTATTTTTTATATTTATTTTTTTCCAAAGTTAGACTAATCTTTAAAAAACAAAAAAATGATGGAGATAAAAAGTCATTTTAAAAATTTAAATGAAAATATATTAAAAAATTAAAATTAAAAAATCATAAAAAATAATCTCAACTTTTATTTTGTGGTGCAAAACAGGCCGTTTCCATTAACCCACCATTAGCAACTTAACAGTGACCCAAAACTCATTAATTTTTAGTAATTTTAAAATTATTATGCATTACAGTGAAAGATGGAATTATTATTAAAAGACCGGATAAAGTTAGAATTATTCTGAATAATTTGTTGATAATAAAATCGTTATGGAAATTGTAAGAAATAAATATGGTGAAATGTATATTAGTATAATACTTTGAAAATAGGAGGTTTTATATGAAATTAATAGTTATTGAAATTAGGAAGGTTTATATGAAATTAATAAGAATAAAAGTTAGTTTAGTTAATGAAAAATCAAAACAACAGATTCCAAAATTTTATAATTAAAATGTATACCGAATATAATATTTTTTTTTGAAAAATAATGTAATGATACATTTATACCCTGTGTAATGTTTCGGAGTAAATTCCATAATTGGTCCTTTATAACAGGGGGGGTTCCATATTTAGTCCTCTATTATCAAATATTACCTCCATAGTCCTTTTTTTAAGGGTACCTTTCCACAAATGGTCCTTTTTTTGATCTTCTACCATGCTGATGTTAATTTAAAGGCTAAAAGTATAATTTAACATCAACATTATGTCTAGTGACGTGTTCTGATATTGGTTAAGCGGATAACACAAAAATAATGACGATGATTGTGGGCTAGGATTCCGACGAAAGACCACATTTGTAGACTATGGTTGTAGTAGAAAACGACTGTAATTCACAAACGATGCAAACGGAACCGCCTTTAGAATTGTGTATGACAAAAAAGATATATTATCATTGTGAAATTACACTTTTAGCCCTCAAATTAACACTAATATGATAGAAGATCGAAAAAAGGACTATTTGTGGAAAGATACCCATAAAAGAAGGACCACTGGGGTAATATTTGATAATAGAGGATTAAATAGGGAAACCCCCTGTTATAAAGGACCAATTATGGAATTTACTCAATGTTTCGTCACACAATTAAACATAGAGGCATGAGCAAAAAGGGCATACTCAAATCCATATTGATAAACAGCCAATCAAACACTAATATACATACACTGCATGAATCAAGTGTTCCACTCTAAACAAGTTAGCTAAAATGACCTTCATACCCTTTCCACCACCTGCAACCATCTTGAATCATAGCTTATACATAACCCTCAACCATATCCAAGAATCTCCTTCTCTCAGGCACTGTTCTGGGAAATCACTTCCCCAAATTTGAGGAAGAGTTGGGCATCTGAGGTGCTCATGGATGGGCAATTCACCAGGTGTGGGGTCCTCAGATTCTTGTACTCATCCATGTAGCATTGCACTTTGGCAGACGGAATCGGGTTTAGCCGCGGTTTCGGGTTGGGAGAGGGCGCCATTAGGCTCCCAAGAACTCGGGTGACTTCGTGCATGGTTGGCCTTTCCAATGGCTGTCTCTTGGTGCATAGGAGAGCCAGCTGGAAGACCTTCTTTATGTCTCCCAGGTCACGGCATGTCGCCGAGATCTCCTCATCAACCATTTCCATGACTGTGTTGTTTGATGCCTTCATTAAAATCTGCCAAAGAAAAAAAATAGATGCCTCTTTTCAAGAACCAC